GGTGTGGCTGGCCTCACGGCCGATGTCGGACGCCCCGATAAGAGAGAAGTTCGAAATGGAGGGGGAGGGGTTACAGCCAACCACCTAACTTAGCCTAAAGCGAACATGCCGAGGGGTCACCGGGTATCACGTTGTTCATATCTGGGGTGCTGGGTGTACAATTTCACCCCTTTCGGTACCTGGTTCCCAGGTGTCTGGATGCTTTTGGGGGGAGGTAAAGTTTCAGGGTTGTTGTGGCTGTGGCGCGGTGAGACCGAGGTGGGATGCTGGATGTGGTGACGATGGCATCATCTTTTCATAGTACCGAAGTCATGGCTTGACGTGATGGCGGTAAGTTGTCAGGTAGATATCTGAGAGCGTGGGGGAGTGCGGGAAGCATGTGGATGGTGCGAGGCATACGGAACCTGGTTAGCAAGCATGAGTTCACTAGCGATCTAAACGGGGCCTTGTTCCATTGCTGAAACTGACCATGCTGGTAATGAAGACTGCGGCATGTCGATGCGTTTGGTGGAATTTTAATGCTCCTAGATACCTAGCAGTCATCTTCTGCTACCTGTATCGTGAACCGGTTGTCTGCTCTTCTGATAATACAAACAGGCGATGGCTTACTCAGTATCGGCAGAACGGAGGATGGTAACACAACCACAAGGAATGGACTCCGACGAGAAAACCCTGGCATCTGAACCCTCTCTTGCGTTGCACTCAGACGACCGAACCAATGGGCGTCATCATTTGAACCCTTTGATGTCTGCCCAATGCCAGCCTGTCGGGTATGCGCACCTCAGGTGGTGGCCCTGTTTTATCATGTCATCGCGGCCGTCACCTGCGGCATCAACGTTCGCTGGACGGAAGGAGGGAAAGCTTATTTGCGTCTAGGAGGGATATCCTGGTGGTGTGGAATTTGCTGTCAAGTCGAGACGCGTGTTAGTCGTTACGTGGGATTTGTGTGTATGTGCTAACGTGAGACGATAGTAACGAGACAGCAGGGCATTCGTCTCATCTCAGTTAGCGCCATCGTGCGCTGGGAAACTAAGGGACTTGTTGACGTCATAAAAAGCCCCCAAATCACTCATGGGCCTCCCGTCTAGCGGATGTGACGATGCAAGACGGACACCTACTATGCAGTAAGGTGCTTTCTACCCCCGGACCAGCTGAGAGGGGGAGCACTTGAGGAGTTCAGCGTGGTAAGGTTGGGTCGACGAGGTGTCTTGGTGGCACCATAGCCGTGACAGTGTCGACTGTCAGCTCAATATGGAACTCAGCTGAAGGCAGGAGTAACAAAGGAAGTGAGAGGATTTGTCCCTTGGGAAGGAAAATGTCGAGATCGTCACAGGGGGTGGTCCAGACCGACCCCACTCTGGACAACCCTTTGGGGCCATTTAATGATTTGGGGCCAGCAAGAGGGTCGTGCTTGTATGCGACAAGCAAATCTCGGTGCAGCACTGCAGGTGCAGTCCCAGCCAGGGGCCGCTAAGACCAGGAAGATTGCGCTGGCCGCTTGGTGGAGAACGTCATTCGGCCTGGTCTTGGTGCAGGAGCTTGGGCGGGTTTTAATTACCAGCTGTCACTGGCGGCGGCGGCGGGGAATGGGCGATCGAGGAGAGGGACGGGACACATGTAATGTCCGTCAAATATAACCTCTTTTGCCCTTTTCCCTTTCCATGTGGTTCACTGCATTTGTTCTCCCACCTTGCTAGACATCCTTGGAAGAACGTTCCCAAGAAACAACCCACGACATACCGTCGACACATCACCTAGTAGTATTCACGATACTCCTCATTCGAGCGCAACCCGATCTTGCACATCACGACCATGGCCGACACCAAGGACCTCCCCCAGAGGTCGGGGACCATCATGACCAACAACTCTGTCCTTAGCGACGATGCTGTTCCCGAAGTCGATCCCACCAGCGTACGTGAATCAGTCATTTCGCTCAGCTTCAAATAGTCGAGGCGTTGTAGTATGGACCATTTGGCGCCCAATACCTAACGCTTCTGAGCTCTACAAAAACCACCTAGACCTTCACAATGAAACATGCTAACAGCTGCATTCAGACCGCTGGCCTCCTCGCGGAGCGACTACAAGCATGGAAACATTCCGTTGGATACCTTGAGGACTATATCGGAGCCGTCGAGAAGATCCACAAAGCCCAGTCCAAGGAGTACGAAAAGGCTCTCAAGACCATCTCGCATCCCTTGAAGGAGGGCCACCACTTCGACCAAAGCCTTGGCGGCATTGCAGCCTACTTCGAGAACATGCGCTCCAACACTCAGGCGATTATTAACACCAATCTCGAGACGGAGAAGACCATCAAGGGCTCCATCCTCCCGGTCCTCGAACGCCTGCACAAGGAGATCAAGCACAAGGGCAAGGAGCTGGCACACGGTGCCCAGAAGGGTGCCAAGGAGGTCGAGAAGGCTCGCAACACCACGCAGAAGCACATTGAGCTTCTCGGCTCCCAGACCGCCTCCTTCGAGTCCGCTGGCGGCAAGATGCACGGAACTGACGATCCTTACGTCGTCAACCGTGGAGTCCTTCACAGATTGCACAAGCAGGTTCTCGAGGAGAACAACAACCGCAACGACCTGATTGCTGTTCAGAACAACTTCAAGGATTTCGAGGCACATGTTATCGAAGTTGTTCAGCAGGCGATGGAGCAATTCATCCAGCTGACCGGTGGCCAGGCCGAGAAGACTCGCGCTCTCTACTCTGACATGCTGGGTGCTATCCAGAGAGTCCCGGGTGATTTCGAGTGGAACGGCTTCGTGACCCGTAGCGGCGATCGCTTGGTCAACCCCAATGACCCCCCGCGCTCTGTCGAGGCCATCAACTTCCCCAACATGGACCACACCTCTGTGAAGCCTCTCATTGAGGGTTCCCTGGAACGCAAGTCGCGTAACAAGCTTTCCTGGGGCTACTCTACCGGCTACTACGTTGTTACCCCGACCAAGTTCTTGCACGAGTTCAAGGATAATGATAACACTCGCTCTGACCCCAAGCCAGAGCTTTCCATCTATCTGCCAGACGCTGTTATTGGGCTTCCCAACGGAAACAAGTTCAACGTCAAGGGCAAGGATAAGAGCAAGTCTATTAGCTCGAAGCTCACTGGATCGTCCGAGTTGGCTTTCCAGGCCCACACCCCCGATGAGGCGCAAAAGTGGTTCGAGGTTATCAAGAACGTTGCGGGAGCCACCGGGCCTGCGGAGCCCAACTCCACGCCTACCTCGCCCGTCGTTGCCCAGGACGAGAAGATGCCTTCCATCGCACCAGCCGCAACCACCCAGTCCGGCCACTCAGCACAAGAGGCCGGTGTTACTGGTCACGACCCTACCGCGAGCCCAGAGCTCATGAGCCCGGTCGACGGCCCATCCTCCAGCGCGGCGGCTGCACCCGCGGCTGCTCCAGCCGCAACAGCGCCTGTTGACGAGAAGAAGATCTAAGGATTCGCACGACACCCTCAGCTTGTGAGATCCCTACACTTGCAGACCTAGTCCGATACCTCGAGCAGAGTCCTTTCGACAGCCCTATTTTCCTCAATAAAGTGAGGCGACTGCTAAGGGCGACTCATCGACTTGCGCACCACTGGTTGCCTTGTTGTTTAGTCTTCTAGGGCGGAATCGCACCTCATATGACTTCGACTTGACCACACCACTACACCTGATTGGTTACATCACTTATGCGCAACATCACAGCCTTACATCCCCGTTGCTTTTTTGCGGCCCTTTCCAGCACACGCACTTGGAGGATACCATTGTGATTTATGGTTATATAATATAGCGAGCCCTAATCAAACAACAATTATGATCGTTGACTCCTGTCCGATTCCGAGTTCATTTACAGTCACCTTGATCGAGTCTGATTCCCTTGGATTAACCACAGTGACTAGAAGATCGAGTTGGAGCTGGCCAGTAGGATGTCTGCCTTGGCGCAGGCTGTGCCTCACCACCCTCTTCCACTCCAAGACAAGGCGCCCATACCGCCATCGATACCGCGTGGATGTCTGCACCTCATCGCCGAGCCCTATTTATAAGTGCAGAACGCTCCCGCGTCTTAGGCTGTCGACACCGGCGACATATTTGATTCAGTATTTGGCGCACACCTCGCTGTGGTCGTCTGCCGAGGAATGCGGCCAGCGTATTGAGTCAAAGGTACAACTGAAGAAAAAGCGCTCACCATACTTATCGGTAGGTAGTTCAGCCACCAAGCTGTCAAAAAAAAACAAAAAAAAAAATGAAGACTCTTTGCACTTTTGCGCAAGGGGGGATCTGCGGAGTGTAGGCAAACGTCGCACACCTTCGCTGAAAGTTCGGTGAAGGTCTGCTCATGGGGTGGTGTGGCACAAGACAGGACACCCCTTACGTTGCGGGCTTAGCCTTCTCCCCCTCCACCACCTTGCTCCCTTGGAGCTGCACGCCGCTTAGAGAAAGGCAGACTTACGCCCCGTCCCGTCATCATGATTCTCCACGATGGCCATGCTATCGGTCATAGAATGTGTTGTCTTTCTTGCCAGGGGGGAACGAAGACTCTCCGAAGGGCAAGTTGCACCTTGATGCACCTACGGTACAAGGTGCAGAAGTCCTGGGAACCGGAACAAGTGTCCGCTTTCTTCAAGGCAGAGGTGAGCGAGGGAAAGAAGCGTTCTAGTGCCTGTCCGTCAGCCCTGGACAAGAAACGCCGATGGCGATGTCCCTACACTGCGATTATAGTATCCTACGAAAGGCAGCAGCCAGCCTTATCCCATCGTGACCTGTCTATATACAGCCTGTATAGCTATCTTCCCATTCCCTCGGGGCGAAAGCACTACCGTCTATCAGAAACACCCTGGAATCGTCCATCCTATCATACTTCAATGAAGCTCACCGCTTGGCCTCTCATCGCGGTCTCTCCAGCCCTGATCTTCCTCCTCCAATGACTCCGTAGTAGCGCCCGCCCTTTTCTATCACAAGACTCTCTATCCCGCTTCGTTCCTCATCCCCAGAGTTTCGTCCAAGCCAACGACAATGACGAAAGCTTGGAAAGAGCACAAGGACGTTATCGCGAGGCTCTACATCAAGGAAAATCGTACCCTGGATGAGGTCCGGGAGATTATGCAGCAGGACTACAACTTCAAGGCCTCGTCAGTCTAACCAGTTTTCTTTTCCCTCTTTTCTTTCCAAGCCGGTTGGATACATCTTGAACTTTCTCGGACCCTACGGAACCCCTCCTTTCTCGGCAACCCATAGGGCGGAAGTTGGCTCTGATACGATGACTACTTCACCTCTCCATCCTGGCCGTCGAGTCCTGTTTCAATGGCACTTTACCCATGGGGGATGACAGAGATCCTCAAATAGCCCTTACAACATCTTCCAGTCGAATACGAGGAATAGACACCAGAAGCAAAACTTGCTAACATCTCTAACCCCAACCACCAGGACAAGATCATACCGCCAGCACTTTGACCAGTGGGACCTGTCAAAGTATAACTGCAAGAAGCGTACCGCCCGCCGTCAGAGCCGCGACTACCAGCAGTACCCCGAACAGCAGCAGTACACCCCTTCCGCTGCTGCTGCTGCCGCTGCCGTCGTCATCGTCCAGGAGACTTACCCAATGAGCCCGCAGAGCTACGGCAGTAGCAGCGGCAGCATGAGCCCCGAGTCCGAGATGGACAACGGCGGCGGTAGGCTTGACGACATGGACGTCAGCCAGTCGTATGGAGGCCATCAGTACACGTACGTGGGTCAGAGCCAGAGTCAGAGTCAGGGCCAGCCTGTTTTGCATCAACAGTATACCCAGCAGCAGCAACATCATCACCAGCAGCTGGAGCAGCACCATCGACAGCGTCAGTCCTGGGATAACCAGGTGCCGCGGAGCATATCCTCGCCGTGGGATCAGGCTGCTCTCCCCAGCCCTCCCGCGGATCTGAGCGGAGACTCGTTCTTCCAGATGTCTGGGACGGAGGCGCTATCTGCGCAGGGCAGTCATCGTCCGCAGGCTTACACAACCGTCATTCATCCCGAGCAGTATCGTCAGCAGCAACAGCAGCAGCACTACCACCGACAACAGTCGGCTGCGGATCCTCGAATGATGCCGACGCGCCTTTTGGCTCCGGCTCCGCAGCGTCCGGTGAGGCCGGAGCGTCGGGAGTCTGTTCCATATCAGGGTGCTATACACTGTGGGTTCCATCGTTCCGGACTATAGGGGCGGAAGAAGGCTACCTTTACCGTGATCTACCCCTTTTCTTCTCGCTTGCACTCTCCTCTGTTGCACCTCTCCCCACCCTCTCTAGGCTCTTGTTTCCACCGGCTTGGATTATTCTGACACTGCTTTGTAATGTTTATTTCCTATCAGCAAGATTAAATCGACAAAAAGAAGGAAAACACGGTGGTTTGGCTTGTTTGGCTTTCAACTTGACTTGGCCAGAATGTATCTCATAATGTTACCGCACTTTCCTTCAATCTCTCGAAATGAAAATAAAAAGAAACGGCCTGCGAGGGAGGTTTATGTTTGAAAGCTGGTCTTTGATGGAAATGAAGGTTGGAATTTTTTTGCAGTTTTGATGGATCACAGGACACAAGAACTTGGCAAAAACCACCTTTCCCATCCCCCCCTTCCCTTGGCCGTTTCCCATTTTGACTTGGTATTTCTTGCTCTTTTTGGAATTGAAGTGCGTTAGTTGTAGAATGTAGTTGTATCGTGTTTTCACCTGTCCTTTTTTTGATTGCTTTGCTCGCCTTGTGTTTTCGTACCATGTGATAGAAAAGACAGAAAACGAAACATTAACCTTTGGAATCCTCTTTCGCCTCTCTTGACGGTGGTATATAGCCCCATTTGGATGATTGGATTCCTTTTTTTGAACACCAAGAACCGATTCCTGAATGATAGACACCATTCCCAAATCATCCTCGTCTACATGAAATCGTCCTCGCTAAAGGGCTCGCTGCTGTGGTTAGACCTCAAATTCATCTTGGCCGCGCCCTCCGCCAACCCATACGGGTCGTGAACATGCTGCTTCCCGCCGCCACCTTCTTCTCCATCACCAGCGGGCGCCGAATTGGACCGCACTTGCACTTTAACCTCCCCCTGGATCCCGTCCACACGAATCGTAGACACCGTCGTCCCGCCAGGGGGCGGCCGCAAGTTGGGCGCGGGCGCGAGGTTGACGAGCTCGCGAAAGAAGTTGTTTGCGGCCTCGCAGCCGTCGAGGAGCCATTTGAGGCAGATTGTGACGCGCTCTTTGGCGAACGGGTTGTGGTCGTCGTAGGCGCAGCAGTTTAGGAGGGGCACGATGCCGTTGTGGTTCACCATTTGGGTTTGTACGTCTGGGTTCCCGGGGGTGGAGTGGCCGGGGGGCGGTTGGAGGAGGGTGGCGAGGATGGTGAAGATTTGGCCCTTGATGCCGGACCAGGGGTATTTGTGGGCTGGGTCGGAGAGGGAGGGCGGGGGAGGGGAGGGAGGGAGGGAGTCGGTGGTTGAGTAGGGGCGTTCGATGATGGGGGTGCCGCCGCCGGGTTGTTGCGAGGAGGATTGGGAGTGTTGGTCTGACGGGGATGGTGCTGTTGCGGCGGGAGGGGGAGGTCTGTTGCGGGAGGGGACGGCGTCGACGAGGGGTTTCTTGGGGACGCCGGCTTCGAGGCCGTTGAGGAGGGTGATGAGGTCGTAGACGGCCTCCCACTCGATGAGCTTCTTCCTCGACTCGGCGATCTCGGAGGCGGTCGTCAGGAAGTCGAGGTACTGCGCCAGGCCGTCCTTGGCGCGCTCCATGTCCCAGGTGTCGACGGGGAACTCGGCCGGGTCGACGTTGTCCTCGCGGATCTGGGCCTGGAGGTGCATGAGGGCGACGCACTCGGGGACGATGCGGCTGCGGAAGAAGCTGAAGAAGAACATGACGAGCTTGACGTCGCGCTCCTGGTCCTTCTTGTCTTGCGGCGGGTTGCTGATGCGGCTGCGGAAGATGTGGTTGACGAGGCGGAGGAGGACGGTCTGGGCGGGGGAGATGATGTCCTTGGGTATGCGCAGCGAGTTCCAGGCGTACGGGACGAGGGCCGAGTGGTGGAGGGCCTCGATGAGCTGCGAGGTGATTTGGAAGATGAGGGACTGCTCGTCCTTTTCCCAGACGGCGATGAAGACGAGCATCTCGCGGAGGAGGGACTTCCCGCAGTCGAGGGCGAGGAACATGCGGCAGCGCGTCTTTTGGAGGTTCTCGCCCGCGCGGGTGAGGCCCGTTCCCGCCGAGTCGAGGATGCAGGACTTGACTATCATGTGGAGGGCCTCGATCTGCTTCGGGTCGAGGATGTTGGGGATCTCGGTCAGGAGGCCCGTCAGGGGGCCCTCGCCGTACGACTCGTCGTCGTCAATGTCCTCGTCGTCCATCATGTCGTCGTAGCCCTCGGCGTACTCCTCCGCGGAACCTTCTTCCGGGCCGAGGTCCTGTTCGGACTCGTCGACCTCGACGACCTCGTGCTCCTCGGTGCGCATGACGGGCGTGTAGCGGTTGAGGAGGTTGCTCTTGCAGTGCTCCGTCCTCGTCTTGGCGAACTCGACGTTGGGCATGGCGACCGCCCAGCCGTCGTAGTTTACGTCGCGCGCGCGCATCCACCAGGTGTCGATCTCGCGGGATACGCGGCAGTAGGCGCGGTCCTGCTCGAACTTGTCCTCGATGTCGGGGTCCCACCGCGGATTGACCTTTTCGCCCTCCTCGTAGTTGTCGGCGCGGACCTTGACCTGGCCCTCGGGGAACCAGTTCCACGCCAGGGGCGCGATGGGCGCGAGGACGCCCGGGGGGTTGTGCGACTTGTTCTGGGAGTAGTCTGTGAGGAGTCTGCGGGCGGTCTCGCACATGCGCGAGTTGCGCTCCAGCCAGTGCTGGATCTCCGTTTTGGCGATGTCGACGCGGAAGCCGGAGCCGTCGCCCATGCCCTCTTGCGGGTCGTCGAGCTGCGCGTCCTCGTCAAAGAGTACGTCGTACCAGAACGACATCTTGTTGCGGTCGTTCTTGGCGGTCCAGTTGTGGGCTTGTTGAAGGGACGTGACCAGGAGCTTCTTGTCTGTGGATCGTGAGCGGCGATTCTTCACCCGAAGGCCATGGGGGACTTACACATGTCGGTGATCTCATTCAGCTTGGCCCTTGAAGACTCGTCCAAGATCTCGCCATCGTAGCCCTTGCTCGTGACGTTCACACAGAGGATGATGGTCTGGTAAACCATCTGGTCAAAGTGAACCGCGGCACAGATGTCCTGGGGTACCTCTGGTTCTGATGTGACCAGCAGGTTTCTCGCAATGTGCATGAGCTTGTTCAAGATGGAGAGGTCGTCTTTGAGACTGTGGTGGTTCTTCACAATGAGAGCAGTGCTCTCCTGAGGGGTCACACCCTTCTCCGGATCGTTGAGGCTCGACAGCGGGCCAACTGAGCGTGTGGTGAGACTGGGGATGGCGGCGCCAAAGATCTTGGTCAACCAGATCCATATCTCGACATTTCTTGACAGCGTTTCCCTGGTTCTTGTTAGGAAAATGAGATGGTACGAAACTACAGTAAGACATGGCGTTGAGGGCACCTACCTAACGTGCTTGAAGGTGTGAGTCTTCTCGAGGGTTTTGGCAATCATTGATGAGACCCGTGCGGCGGTCTGAGGGCCCATGGGCGGGATGGTGTAGTGGCCCTCAAGGCAGATGAGGGCGGCCGAAAAGCAACGCTCCTCGATGGTCTCATAGCCCGGGGTGCCATCCTCGAGGTCGAGGTCCGGCAGGGACGGCGGCGGTGTGGCCGCCATGGTGTTGTAGGTCGATGAGTGATGAAGAGCACTTGTGACGCTGGAGATTGGGGTATTTCAAACTTGAAGCATAGAGGTAAAGACCGGCCGGAGGGGCGTTTAGCCTGCCGAGGGGGTATTCGCTAGTAATGAGTGGGAAAACAGGCCGTGGGTGAAGATTACTGAAATACATGCACAGTTTAAGAATATTCTCATGAAGTTTTTGGAGATGGAGTACCTCCAAGGTGGCGGCCCCGGGATGCTGGATTGTCACTGTGGAAAATTTCCGCCGTCCGCACCGAAAAGTAAGTATCTCTGCACTACAAATTGGTAAGCAGATACACACAGACCAATTGCCAGTTTGGGGTTCCAACAGCAAGTGTGAGTGCTCTTGTGATCTTTTGGTGACCTTTAACTATATGTATGAAGGATTCACTCTAGAACTCCCGTAATCGTCCTGCACAGATAATATCCCACAAAGATGTGCAAGAATTTCACTCTCGATTCGGCATCAGGGATTTACGCATCATGCCTAGGCCTTCCCACATTATGAGTCGGGATACAACTGCTGTTCTGGGCTGAGAGCCCTGTGAAATTCCGGGCTGATGCAAGGTCGGTACCCAAGACCCCTCCATCGGACCCCCTAAATCGGCCAATGGCAAAGGTGACAGACACCGTAGACCCCTCTATCGGCCGTGTGCGACTTGGGCCCCCGACGTCCGCCCCTCGGCGGGGTAATTTCTCTGCTGTGTCTGTTCTTCGACGCGAATTTGGGCCACTTGTGCGACAAGTCACAGCTTGACTCACTCCGAATACCATCGTCCCACGACCTCTCGACACCTACCCCCGACGCCGCGAATCTTCCACAACCTCGCTTCCTCGAATACCACCGCACTCTTACTTCGATCACAATCTTGACAAAACTCGTAGCATACTCAAAATGGCGGACGGCACAACGGCGCAGGAGAGGTTCGCCCTCATCCAGGAGAACTTGGCCGAGGTCATGAACCCCGAGATCATCGAGAAGATCTTGGCCGAGGGACGCAACCCCAAGATCTACTGGGGTAAGAAACATCTCAATCACACTGCTGATACTCTTCGTCGGCGCATTGGCTGACAATTGCCTCCTTTCAACCTACAGGAACCGCGACAACGGGCAGACCTCACTGCGGCTACTTCGTCCCGGCCATCAAGCTGGCGCAGTTCCTCGCCGCCGGCTGCGAAATGACCGTCCTTCTCGCCGATATCCACGGTTTCCTCGACAACCTCAAGGCCCCCATCGAGCTCGTCGAGCAGCGCGCCAAGTTCTACAAGTTCGCCATTACAAACATTCTCAATGCTGTCGGCGTCTCCACGGAGAAGCTCAAGTTCGTCCTCGGCAGCTCCTACCAGAAGAGCCCCGAGTACATCATGGATGTCTACAAGATGAGCTCGCTCATTAGCGAGAGAGAT